AACCCTTCCAACATGTCTAACCCAGCTGCAGGGGACAAGGGACTGTGAGCATCAGGAGACGGGCGCAGCCATGAGCCCAGAGAAATGATGCCTCTTAATGAAGCCATGGCACAGATTATGATGCTTGTGTTTCTTCTTGTTACGAGTCAGTGTGCTAATGAGCGTGTCTCCAGCAGACGGGACCCAGGAGCACAATGCATCCCAAAGATACAGATTTCTAATTAACAAAGTATTTTTGAGTAACTCCACAGCTCTGCACCGGGAGGCTCCCCCAACCCCTGCCATTGTGCTGCAATCCGTAAACAGGAAATGAGGGACAGAGCCAAAACACTCATTACAAGGTCAAGAATCACCGTGCAGGAGATGAGGTTTCCACATCCAAAGTATGTGGTTATGTGCTTCCCACAGACGGATCCTCCAGGCAGGTTGCAACACAGGACAGGGGATGACTCCAAATTGTCCCTTTCTGACCCCGAAGCTGTCTTGCAGGAGAGTCAGAAGACCTCCTCTCCAATGAGAAAGAAAGAAAATTAAAAGAAAGCGCAAAGAAAGAAAGAAAGAATCATAGAATAGTTTGGGTTGGAAGGGACCTTTAAAGGTCATCTAGTCCAACCCCTCTGCAATGAGCAGGGACATCTTCAATTAGATCAGGTCATTCAGAGCCCCGTCCAACCTGACCTTGAATGTTTCCAGGTATGGGGCATCTACTGTCTCTCTGGGCAACCTGTTCCAGTGTTTCACCACCCTCATCATAAAAAATTTCTTCCTTGCATCTAGTCTAAATCCACCCTCTTTTAGTTAAAAAACATTACCACCTTGTCCTATCACTACAGACCCTACTAAAAAGTTTGTCTCCATCTTTCTTAGAAGCCCCCTTTAAGTATTGAAAGGCTGCAATAAGGTGTCCCTGGAGCCTTTGCTTCTCCAGGCTGAACAACCCCAACTCTCTCAGCCTTTCCTCATAGGAGAGGTGCTCCATTCCTCTGGTCATTTTTGTGGCCCTCCTCTGGACCCGGTCCAACAGGTCCATGTCTTTCCTGTGCTGAGGGCTCCAGAGCTGGACGTGGTACTCCTGGTGGGGTCTCAGTCTCAGACCCCACCTGGAGAGTGACGAAAAAGGAGAAGAAATGGCTTAAGAAAGTATCATTTGCATGTTGCAACCTATGGACATTACAAGGTCGGTACTGCAGGGAAAAGGAGAGCAGGGAAAGGAAAAACCATCATCTCTTCTGCAGCAGCCCCTGTCTTGTTTTCCCCAGCCTGGCCCGGGAGCAGCAGCAGAAGCAGCCTCAGGGCTTGTCCTGGCAAGCTCGGTTCATGCATGCAATCTCATCCCAGCAGGCAGCACATTTGCCTCTGCAGACCTCTAAGGCAACTTCTCAGGCCTTTTTGCTTCCTCAGAATGTCTGGGTTCATACGCGGCTCTCAGGAGGACGCCCCAGCTTTAGGGCTCTGAAGCCCCCAGAGCAAGCACCTCTTCCTACCTATAACCTCCTGCTGGAGGCTGCTGCCATAGAGAGGAGCCACTGTATGCCGTGCTGCGGGCACCGCCGTGGGCTTTCTTGAGACCTCACCAACTTCATTGCAAAGCAAGAGTAATTCCAGGGAAGCTGAGGGATTTTGGAGTCTATGAGAAGGTGGTAAGAGGAGACGAGCCCCAAACATGACTGATATCACCGTGACAGGCAGAATAAAACAGGGTTTGAACAGTAAAGCCCCCTGCTGTGAGTGAGGCTACACCTGTGCTGCCCAAGCTTTCAGCTTTAATTTTCATCCCCGCAAAGAAGCGCCTTGGCAGCGGGGGCGAAGGCTTGCAAGGCACCAATGGACCTGCTTTCAGGGCCACCCAGGGACCACAGGGTGGGCTGCGGGGGCGTCCACCCCCTGCGGGAGCTGCAGCCCTTGATGTTCATCCCGCCACCAGCGCGGGCAGGCTCGTGGGCCGATTGCTGCGCTTTTTGTGAATAAGTGATACCCTATTAAATCGCTATTGCAACACAACAGCATGCACAACCCAGGGCATTTTCCAAAGTTTTTCCCTTAATAACCCAGGATAGAGAGTATTGGCAGAGCCCCCTGTGCTCTGCCTGTGTTATAAGCAAAGGCTTATTGTCACAGTTGTGAATTTAAGCCAGTTTCCCCCAAAAAACAAGGAAAGGGCTTTTCCTTCTCGAATGACAGCTGTGACACCTGATCTCTGCTGCAGACTGGCTGCTGGCTGTGCGGTGCAGGGGGCCACCAAGGAGTAGCTCTGAGCAGCAAGAAGAGATAGCAAGTGAGCCCTGGGCTCGTCAGAGGAGCAGTTAATCCACAGACCGATGGGAACCACACCACAAGTCCCAGACTTCCCAGGCACTAGGCTGCACTGCTTCTGTGCCTGCGCAAACGGGGGGGTTTACAAGGCTAGCCTCCAATAAATCAAAATAAACCATATCCTAATTACAAGAGTCATCCATAGCTACTTACCAAACACCTTCTCCACGGGGGCACAGTCAGCCCCCTGCCAAAAACCAGCACGCAAGGAGGGAGAGGAACAGGAGGAATGGGACCTTTGAAGAAAGCCCAGGAATTGTTTGATTTATTGGCTCTGTTTAGTTTCTAAACAAAAAGCAACCAGCAAAGCAAAGGAACAGGACAAGATGTGGTGTGACAAAACCAGCTACAGAAAGAGCTGGGAAAGCATTCCCATAGGCCTCGGGTTTATTTCTGATAAAATGGGCCTGTGCTCTCCTACTCCACCAGTGGGGACCACAGTCCCTCTGCTATCACCGCACCGAGCTGAAGTTCTTTTCCTTGCGAAGAGACAGATGCCACAAGGGGCTCTGTAGCTCCCTGGTCATTAGAGCCAGCTACTAATTACACCCTAGAGCAGAGCACTGATGGGTTGTGGATGGCCAACAGACACACAAAAAACTGTAAACTTAATATCTGAAAGTTCCTGCAACATCTGATGATAGGGCTGGGTCAAGCCAACGATGACACCTGGGAACAAGACCCGAATACTCCCTTGGAGGCATCACAGGGCACTTGCAAACCCAGGGGGCTCTGGGGAAACACCCACTGGTCATCAGCTGTGGAGGAATTACCCACCAGCTAACACACACACGAGATCAGGAGCATCCCTAACAGGGTGACTGGTGGCAAACAAATAAAGCAGCGGGTGTTCAAGCACGGGGAAGGCAAGACAGATATTCTCTCTATTCTCTATATGTTCTCTATATTAAGACATTTAGACCTTAGCAAAGGGTTGGTTTCAACTCCTAGCAAAGGGATGGCTTCAACTAGCCAGCAGCCAGAGCTATGTGTTGGCAGCCCTGGGGTCACTGCTCTGTGGTCAGGGCTTGTTCAGAGCCAAAACCTCACTCCCGCTCTTAAAACCATGAAAAACCTCAGCTATTTCCTGGCTCTTCCAAGGAAAGGGAAGCATTACGGCAGGCTTGTAAGATAAAGCCTCGCAGATAATTGGCATGTGGATGCACTTGCACAACCGCTCCAAGCTGATAATTAAGGACAGGGATTGGTAATTAAAGACAGAGTGGCACAAAGCACTGCTTTAAATTTTTTCATTTTCAAGGATTTCTTCTCTTTTGGGCTCTAAAGAGCTCCCCACTGCCACATCAGCCTAACTTTAATAATGCCCTGATGGGATGACAAGAGGTGTGCATTTCCTATTCTACTTAAGAAAAAAACCCACAAGGGTACTGAGCTCCTGGGTCATTACCCAGCGCCGGGTGCTGAGCCCAGCCCGCGAGGTACAGCCTCGCAGCACAGCCCCAGCACGCTCCCTCCATTTCTGCCACTTTATGAGAAAGAGCAAATTTTAGTCATCAGTACACCTTAAATACGCTCAATACACAACAGTATGGTTACTGCTGCTAATGGAATGGAGGCGTTTCTCCACATTTGGGTCTCTAAGGACAACGGTGTGCAAGGGATGCTGAGCCAGATCTCTGGGAGACGTGGTCCTAATCCTATTTGGTCACACAGTCCTTTATTCCCTTGTGTCTGTTTTCCTCTTGTGTCCATTTTCCTCCCCTCTTCTCTATTCAGACTAAGTTTTTTCACAGGATTAGTCTCCACTATGGCTACAAATAGCATCCACTACAACAGGAACCAAAGCTCTCTTGGGACCATCACTGAGCACCTGCATACAAATCCTGACTCTGCCAGCTTGCAGCTTCTTTTGTATTTCTCACTTCCTTAAACAAAAATAATAAATTAAATATGTAATGCATAACAGAAAACAAGGAGCCCTTTTTGTTCCCATCAGCCTCATCCACAGGTTTTTTGGCTCCATGGATCCAGGATGTTGGCAGCTGGGACCCTTTGCTGAGGACCCAGGCGAGGAGGGGACCGGGGTCATTTACTCCCTATTTTTAACCGAACAGTTCCCTTCGTGTAAACACGCTGCAAGCCATGGAGTGCGCAGTGACACATGTCAAAGCTTTAATTACCAGCTAATTAGGCCATCTTGGAGCAGTTTGTCTCCTGCTCTCCAATGCCCAGCACGGGGATGTTTGGAAGATGGATGGCCCAGGATTTCCAGCCTGTTCCCCCTCCCCAGGCACTATTGTGCTGCTCTTGTCTGCATCCAGGATCCAACAGGGAAAGAAAAATGGAAAAGGAGGAAAACATCTCTGGGTGAGCATGAAGCAACATGATAACACAACCACGCACGGAGGAAACGCCAGTGAGATCGGAGGCGATTGAGGATTTTGGAGGTTGTGGCAAGCTCAGAAGGTTTTGACCTCCCGGCTCCCTCGCAGCCCTGGCTAATGGTTTTAAGCACTTCCTTTCATCGTGGTGGATTTATTCCTCCCATTGCTGCAGATGTGCAACAGGAAGCTCCCACCAGCACCCACATTTGCACACCGTGGCCAAAAGCACAATGGAAAAAACCCCTTACACTCTCTAAGCCTGTGCATGGTCCCCACGACTCAAGGACCAGGGAGGGGACAGAGACGCACGGGGGTGACGGTGGCTTTCAAAAGCCAACTCACCAGGACTGCGGTTTCCTCTTCATGATGCCCTGGCGTCTCCACTGTGAGTGGGGGCTGAGGTGGTAGGTGAGCTGCCGGCAAAGCTTCTCCATGGCCCCGAGGGAGTCCCCCTCCTGTGAAGACAAGGGAGAGATGCCTGGTAAGGTGTCTGCAGCATTGCCATGATGCCCATGGGATGCTCTGACCCCGGAGGGACTCCCTGCTAGGAGCTGGCAAGTCATAAGGGACCATGCTAAAACTTGTATAGGAAGGGGGGAAAAAAAAACCCCAACACTGCTAAGATGCTGCAAGGACAGGGCATTTCACCAAGGACCACCCCGTCCTGCACACCCATGGACATGGCTGCTGGCAAGCGAACGCAGGGGTGCACGAGCCCTGCCTGGTTAAGGATGACGAGGTTCCTTCTTGGCTGCTGTGCTGGGGTTCGGGGGATCCGCACGGCAGGGTCATCTCTCTGCAATTCATTCAGTAGCAGCACTATTATCATTTGCCACTACATAACAGCTTTCAGCACTAAAGTTTTATGGAGATTGATTAAATAAACCAAACAACCCATCCATTACCATCAAAACTGCTTTACAAAAGAGCAAACACTAAGAGGCTTTGCGAGCTGATGGAGATCTCGGGAACAGTGCTCATCTGAAACTCTCAAAACATATTATTTGTTAGGAAAAGAAAAGCTTCAAGGAAAAGAGGGATTTTGGTGGAGCCTTCTCAATTCTGATCAAAATTTCCACCCAAAAGGATAGTGGCTTGGAAAACTTTAACTCTGAAAGTTTCTAAGAATGTGGTTCTAGAAATTTTGGTTCCTAAAAATAACACAAAATACAAATACCAGTATCCGGACCACTCAATCGTGTTTAATTTCAAGACCTTGACATACTAACGCATGATATGACATCCAATAATGTAAACCACCCATCTTGCCCTGCCTGGCTTGCTCTCTGAAAGGTCACAAGCAGAGATTAACCTGACCTAAAGAACAATAATGATAAAAAAAATCAAGATGTGACAATTTGTGGCGTCTGCCTGATTTTATGAAATTGCTGCATCATGAAACATCTTAGAGAAGACAGAGAAACCAAATAGGAAGCCCTAAAATAAGCAATCAGCCTGGGCTCGGCTCGCTGCTCATTCACTCTGATTGCCAGGATTTTGCTGTGTGCTGGGACAAGCTGGGCAGGGATGCTGAGGAAGATGCTGCATCTTCCCTGCCTGGACATCCAGTTACTGCTGCCTTCATGTCCTCCCTTTGAGCCCAAGCGCCCCAGCAGAGCTGCGAGCGGCACATTTCATGCAGCCTAACTCATGCAATGTATTCTCCCACCTCACCTCCAAGTCAGCAGAGTGGGACTGGCCTTATAAAGACATTATAAATATTGAATTACCCAAGGAGCAATAGGGATTTTGACAGATCACCTCTGGGTGTGCAGGGAAACAATTACAGCAGGTTTTCTCAGGGTAAAAAACCACAAAACCAGGACAGAAAGGGCATATCTGCAGATGGCTGGAGCAGAAATATCAGCGTAGGACTTGTGGTTTCCAGCTTTTCTGTTTAATCCACTCAAGACAAAGCCTTGACAGAAATCGGGGTAGTTTATTCCCAGACATGTCTAAGTGCCTACACAGTGACTAACATTAATCAAAAGCTGATTTAATTCAGGGGCAATTCTTGCCCAGCTCCAGCTGCGCAAGCTGGCAGCAAAGTGATGGTACCAGCGCTCACCCCCTATATCAGGCACATGGTGGCAGGTGATTTCAGCAGCTCAGGTAGAAATTCAAGATCCACAGATACCAGCAGGGCACGGTGTATCAAAAAGGCCATGTCAGCAGGGGCTGGAAACAGCTCAAGTCAGGAGCTGTTTCACATCTGAGCTCCGCAAGCATTTGACGGCCGTACCTCCTGTTTCCCAGTTTGCGGAGGAGAAAATATGGGCTTAAGAGCATACTTAAACCCATACTTTTCAACACCTCATTTATCACCACGCTTAACTTGAAATAAGGGTTTTAATCCCGCAAATTTCAATGGGATGTCAGCCTATGCTAAACCTCAGGCATGCCGAAATCTCCCCTCCCACTGCAGACCCTGCGGCAATAAATATCTCGTGCCCTAGGCTTGGGGATGGATGAACCCTGGGAGGCTCAGCCTGTCAAATTAACACAGAAAAAATAATGAAAGAGAAGGTTTTATTTCATGTTTTCCACTGGAAGGTCTGGAAACACATTGCAGCCATTCTTTAATTAAAGCCTCAAAAGATTTTGGGAAGGCAACAGCATATGCTGCTCCCTCTAACTGCTCTCCATGCGCCCTCTGCCAGCACCGCCTTCCTCGCTGTGTAACCAGCATCCCAAATGCAAGAAGAAAACACCGTGAATTTTGACACCTACCCTATTTTTTTTTTACCTTTGCATTATATCCACAGCAAGTTGCCTGGTGCCATCAGCTTCCATTAAATCTATTTTTTTCAGCTGTTACCCTTGCAAAGCATTGCAACAGCCCCTGAAATAAGTGTCCACCCTCAGCACTGCGCAGGGGTTTCCATCTCCAAGCCCTCACCACATCATGTGGAAAAACTCTTGCTGAAAAGGAAACAACGTGCTAAAATGCTGTGGAGTAAGTAGCCACCATGTTGCAATTCAGCTCTGCAAATTGCCTCCAACATAATCCTGAAAGAGACAATCAAAATTGTCTCCAGTATTATCCCGATAACTAAACTGTCGGGGAAGTGAAATGATTCACAAGAACAACGTGGCAAAAAAAAGCAGAGAAAGTAAAAGAAACAAGCTTTTGCTGGTACAAATGTGGCAGGACCATCTTCTCCCTCCGATAAGAGAATTTTTCCCCAAGCAGCATGCTCACGCTGGCCCTTGGTGTGCAGCTGCCAGACCTCCTGAGTGGTGTGACCAGATGGCTGGTGGAAGCGCAGACCCGAACTTCACATAAAGCCAATTTCTGAGAAATTCAGCCCAAAGAAATCCCCTCAACAGAACCCAGCAAATTGTCCATCAACACTGATACAGCACATCACGGGCTCCAAGGAAAGATGCTAGAGCAGGACAAAGCATATTTTAATCCTTATCTCTCTACAGCAGTGGCCATAGCCAGCTCATCCTTCACACGGTCATCCCCACCAGGCCACTCTTTCAGCCCCTTTTTCTTCACAAGCAAGCTTGACTCACAAGCCCTGGAGGTACTGGGCTACTTCTGTTCTGGTGTTTTAAAACATGATTTAGAGAACATGACTTCTGCACACAGCAACTCATGCATCTCCTTCTGGTCTCGGTACTGTGTGAGGGTATAAGCCAGCCACAAAAGTATGGTCTTTTCCACACTGGTCTGTAATGGTCTGTAGATAAATGCCCCAGTTTAGCACTGGGACAAATAAACAGCCCATTTCAGAGCCTTCATAAGACATGCTATTTTGGGGTTGGGCTCCTTGCTTCTGCACATCTCACTCCCGTTGCCGCACTTCACCTGCCCACGAGCGAGATGCAAACCTCTCTGCTTCAAGAACCCACTTTTTTTAGGTACCTTCCTAAACCTCTGCAATTCCTCCCAAGAGCTTTGCGGGAGGCTGCAGAGCAGCCCCAGGCCTGACCCTGGCATACGAGAGCTGCCCTGTGTTGCACAAAACATGTGCGCAGAAGAAGGGATTTAGCTGATGCAGTGCCAAAGGCAGAGCTGGACACTTGTCTGATGGTCTAAACAAAGGCTTTTTTGCTGTTTATGATCCAAGTCTATCAGGAAATAATTGAAGCTGACGCACACCCTGGTGGGAATGAGCCCAAGAGCTTGTTTGAAAACTGAGTCAGCTTAAAAATCAGCTCAACTCGCTCGTGTTGACAAAGTTTTAACCTCGCTGCCTGGTGAACGGGGAGAGCACTGCATGCAGGGCTGCCAGAAGAGCTGGGGATTAGTGCATTACGCTGGCAGGAGCGATGGTGCCAAGCACTATCCCCATGGGCAGCTATAGGCTTCCTGAGGCCATGCCAGCATTACACTGTGATGCCGATCCTCCCTCTGATGCAAGGTAACACTCCGGCTCTCCATCCAGCATGATCCTCTCTGCTCCGTACCACCAGCATCCCCAGGTGAGATGCAAGAGATGACACAAACCCCATCGGGTGGGCAGATGATGCTGCTGCCTCCCTTGCTGCTTCCAGCGATTAACCACCTCCCTCAAAATCACAAGCACTGGCCAAAAGGTCTTTCTGCCCCACCTGCATCACATCACTTACTGACAACTCCTTCACTACAGCTGTAAGGTCAGCATAAGGCTGGATTTTTTTTGCGGTCAGAAGTCGCATGAGTGGCAAGGCAGACTTACCTCAACCCACAGAAATTCAAACCCACAGCCCTGGGTTTTGGCAAACACTATGTGCCCTTTCTGTAGAAGGGACAATAATCAAACACAAGGCATACAATGAGAGCTGCTGTTTTCACCAAGCATATTGTCTTACCACCAGAATCAAATTGCAGGAGTAATCATTCCTGAAATAACGCACAGGGATGAATCTCCAGCAAAGGCATCCCCAGTGATACCATGGAATACCTGGCTCCTTCTAGCATCAGGCATTCATGGTGCACGTGTGTGGGAATGTGCATTTGTTACTCTGGTTTTTAACCTCTGGGAGGAAAACTGCAAAGCATCTCAGGGTTGGGGAGGTGGGACAGACCACACAGACAGTTCAGCTTTCCCAGCTGATGATGCTGCCAGGAAAAAACCTGTTTCATAGAGCTGGGATATACCCTTTCTCTTAGCACCACACTCACAGGCCAGCTGATAAATGCTGATAAGATGCTGGTGATGAGCTATCTCCCTGCAGATCCATCAGCCACACACCTGGGAACATCTGTGAGTTTGCAAAAGCTCTCCACGCTGTGATCTTGCACACGCCTGTACAGCCCCTGTGTCAACAGGGAGAGAAACCTGTGCCACGCATGCAGAAAAACTGCTTTGAGCAGCACCTGAACTCTGTACAAGAAGCAAGAAAGCTGTATGGCACCCTCTTTCCTTTTAATTTATCTTGGCTGCTCTGCTAGAAGGTTTTCAGGAGAAGACATGCCTCACAGCACACATTTATGCAGCATCCCAGCTCTCGGCAGGACTCA